AGTTTATGTTGCACACATCAATGGCTGGGGGCTACCATGGCCAACACGACGATTCCCAATGTACGGTGCCCCCCCCCCCCGCCCCCTTGCGGATGTTTTTGGAACGCCAGCAGGGTTGGAGCCGGGCGCGCGCCGACGATGCGGGTTCGATTGCGGAGCAACTGCCGTGATGGGACTGCTGGTCGGCGGGAAGACTCTCGTCGTCGCCAACGCGGGAGACTCGAGGTGAAGGCGGTGATAAGAACGGCCAACAATGATGTGATGCAACGGCAACAAATGATATGATGTGATGTAACGGCAATAAATGGTGTGATGTAACGGCAGGCATGGAGTCACTTCCGGTGCCGTTTCGGTAGTCAACGCAGGTTTTTCATGGTAAGCAAACATACTAGATAAAGTATAGAATTGGCCAAGTTGGCGCTAGGGTCTGCGTGCCCCCTCCCAGGTCTTTTTTTCGGATTTTCCTCACTTGCTTTGCGTAGGCAGTCCTGCTTTTTTCCCGGCAAACCGCCCGTCGTCCTCGCTTTTGTCGTTTTCCCCATCAAACACGCGCTATTGCGGCGGCGGAAACAGACTCGCTTTATCACCGTGGGTGAAAGGCTTCGACTGACGCCTGCCTCGAAACTCGCGTGTGTGTGCTGACTGTGTGTGTTTTTTTGTTGGTCCGATTTATTCTGGCGCCAGTCTTGCCAAGTGTGTATGGAGGATGTATTTGACTCTAACCAAAATCCTTCGGCCTCGTGTATTGCGAAATTAAAAAAACAAATGTGTCTGGTCGAAGGTGTGTGGTAAGCCGCAATGGAGTGGCAGTGGACATGTCGACCGACCACAAGCCAGAGGACGACATCGAGCTTAATCGGATCGAGAAGGCGGGTGGGGCTGTCGTGGACGGCAGAGTTCAGGTGAGCCGCTTGTTCTGCACTTCCTCGTACATTATATTGAAAGGTTGAAGGGGGGTGTTTAGGCGGTTTCTTCATACAGGAACATAATTTTTTTTTTTTAATGTGCTGTTTCCCATTCGCAAAAAAGGAACAGCGTGTCTAATATCAAAACGCTTCTTGTGATGCAGTCGGTTTTTTGCACTGCTGGCCATGGAAAAAGAACACCGGAAATCCATCTCTCTCTTCCACAGATGAGAGTCCGTGGTAGATTAGATTTCCAATGAATTTGTTGTGTTGTACGGTGACCAACTTATGCTTCTAAGGTTTCCCGAGCGGCGTACACTTTGTTCTACTCTTCTTCGTAACAGCAGTATATTTTTAGGTTGGATGGTGTTTGTGTTTTTGTTTTGTGTTTTTGGTTTTGGGGGGGGGGAGGACACAAATTGCGTCTACGACTAAATGTTAAAGTGTGGTATGTAGTTGTTTTGTAGAACACTGCTTATATGAGACGGTTGTCTCAAAGTTCACGCTGCGGCTCAAAGTTGTTTGTGCTAGTCTGTGGTACCTAACACCAGGAAGGTAGATCTCCGATAGGTCAGCTGATACGTCACGATGTACGAGACATCCTAACGTGATATTCACACCCCTATAGAATCGTACCGCGTGCTTTTGTGTCAACATTTTCCCGCGTCTCTATTCCTCGAAATAGTACCATGCATGTTGTTTGCATCTACAAGTATCTCTTGCCCGCCTATACATTTGGCGCCCGCGATTCAGAAACGACCCTTTGAGAAACAACGGCTCAGATTTTGGCCATGAACAAGAAAAAATCGACTAAGAAACACACCTTTAAGAAACCAAGGCTCAGACTTATGCGATAAACAAGCCTGCGATTGAGAGAAATAAACCTTGAAGATTCAAAACCTCAGATTTTGGCGACAAACAAGAAAAACCGACTAAGAGACACACCTCAGCCGTGAATCCTCTACGCCAAACTCCATATAATGACCTACGCACGACGGTGGCGACGAAATAAGAAATTGAGCCTCGAACCCAGTTTGACGTTTCTTAAAATGCGTGCGTTATATCTATACCTCGATCGTCGGTCAGGGCAATCTGAACCTGTCGAGGGCGATAGGCGACCTCATGTACAAGGCCGACGAGGCCCTGTCTCCCGAGGAGCAGATGATAACCGCAGACCCAGAGCTCAAGACCTTGGAGCTCACGCCGCAGGACGAGTTCATTGTGCTCGCCTGCGACGGCGTGTGGAACTCCCTCAGCAGTCAGGAGGTACGTTAGGGGGGGGTGGGGCACTTTCGTGAGGGGTACCCACGTGTGTTGCGTAGTCTTCCGGGGAAATTGTGCTGTTACCGCTGGCTGTGAATGTCCTTGGCCTTGCTGACGTTGGATTCAGGGCAAGACAATAGAGACGGGCGGGCGGGGGGTACTCATGTAAACGTATTGCAGTAGTCGGTAGACTGTTGACCTTTGCCGGGGCTCTATTTATTTATTTATTTATTTTTGCCTCTTTTCGTGGCAATGAACATCCAGTGGAGGTGTTTTGGACGGGTGGCCAAGGGAATTCAACTCTTCTTGGCCCGTAAAAGTGGTAAGAGAGGTGTGGTGTTGTACCATCGCCGCTTGTGCCTCATGGCTAAATTGTCATTTCTCTCGTCCCCAGATTGTGAATCCCCCGCTTGTGCCTCGCGGCTAGTTATTTCTCTCCCCAGATTTGTTAACCCCGGTGTCTTTTTGTTTTCTGTACCCTTCTCCAAATCAGACGATCGACTTTGTCCGGATGAGGCTGAAGGACTCCGGCGACGAGCCCCCCCTAAGCAAGGCCTGCGCCGACCTCTGCGACGCCTGCTGCGCCGAGACGGCCGACGGCGACGGCACAGGCCTCGACAACGTTACCGCGGTTATCGTAAGGCTCAACACCGAGGGCGCGAGGGCGTTAACCGGCGCTTCAGCCGCGGCGGCGACGGCGGCGGCGGTAGGCGACATGGACACCTCAGACGACGGGAAGAGGAAACAGGGGGGCGGGGGCCGGGAAGGGGAAGGGGGCGAGGACGAGGGCCGATCGAAGAAGCAGATGAAGGCGGCGGAGGTAAAGGCGGCGGAAGAGAAGGCGGCGGCGGCGGAGTTCGAGGACAAGTAGTTGTTGTTATTTGTTGTTGTCGCGTGGCTGGCGCTCCAGGCGTGGGCGGTGTCATCCACCCCCTGCCCTCGGCTAGGGGCCCCGACGTGGGTATTGCATTCCCCCCCCCCCCCCTCCATTGTACCATCGTCCCTGCAGGTTGGATGAAGCAGTATCCCCCCCCCAAGCTAGAGCAAGTTTGTGTGATGTTTGTCGCATAGTGGTGTTTATGCTACGTCAACGTGCTTGGCGAGTTGTCGCCGCGAAAGAGCTTGCAACCCGTCTCGACTTCCGACAGGAGAGGGGAGCGGGGATGATGGCCCCGGGACGCTTAAACTGCTCTGAAATAGTAGATGGGTTGGTGCCCTCCTCCTCTCTATCTGGTGTGAACGAGACGGCTGTAGATGTTGTGCCGCAGCGGGATCGCGATGATAACAAGGTTGTCCTCGCAATATGTAAACACCCGCGGGGGGGTCCCGAGTCCAGACATGGGGCGGCGAAACCTTGTGTATCCCAGTAAACATTTGCCTGGGGATCGCTCGGGAGATTACGGGACTGTGAGATTGGAGTTTCCCGGGGACTTCGGGAGTAGGGGGGGGGGGGGGGTACTGAGTTGTTTCGGACGGTGGGCTTTGTAAGAGTGGGGGTGTTGATAAATGCTTCGTAAGAATAGTGAAGTGAATTGCGTGACTGCAACCAACCGCGAGATCGTGGTGCGAAAGACGCGTCTGTGTCCCGTCCCGTTTTGCTCCGGCCACACGGTTAACAGGTGTTGGTTGTGCTGCGTTCTTTTCACGGATCAACGGTGCCCGTCGGAATAAACCATGGTTGTAAGTGCGCCGAATCGTGGCTGCCCACCGTTGCTTGCTGTCGGTTTGAGGTCTGTAATCCTTTGGGGGGGGGGGGTAGGTAACAGTGTCGATGATTGTGGTGGTATAGGCCTTCGCTTCACCTGTGTTTGCAGTTCGTGGCCTAGGGAATGATCTCGCAAGTGGGTGAAAATGTAGTTTTCGGTAATAATGAGGGTAAATTGTTCCGAGTGCTGAGGTGTGCCGACGTCCACGTCACACACAAGGCCGTGAGCAAGGCAAACGCCATACAAGGACCAGTCAGTGTTGATTTAGGGGTAGCTATTCAGGTCGTGTGAGATGTTGTGCGGACGCGGTTGCTTGGAGTATCTATCCATCGTCGACGTTCGGACCCTGCGCCATCCAAGTTTTGCGGCGCGGCTAGGTTGCAGGCGGCATTTCCGCCGTTGAGGTTGTGTACAAGGCAGCAGAGGAAGGAAGAGCACAGAGTTTGTTTTTTGACGGTCCAAAGTATTGTTCCGGACTGGCTAACCAACTGACGGAAGGCACATCATGCATCTATCCGTGCTCGAAATATGTTCGAGCACGTGAAACTGGTGGTGGTGGTCGATGACGTGCTTAACGTACTTGCGCTCGGTATGACACCGCGCGGATTGCGCTTGCCGCGTGGGACCAGGTAGGTTGTAAGAAGTTGCTGCGTGGCGACCATGCGGTTCTTACCAATGGCCACGCTCTTTGTCGGGTTTCTTCCCTCGCGTGTGCCCCAGTTGATTATTGCTTGGCTCCCGTAGGGCGACCGATTGCCCGCCAGGAGCTGTGCGGGATTATTATTCATCGTTTATACAATGTCGGACCGAGATCTTACTAATTCTTAATTGAATGATAATACAATAAATACACATTGCTACATTTATTTTCTTCTGCGCTGAGCACCACCCCGTGATTGCTCCGCGGAAGGAAGTGTAACACAAGGCGAGACCCTCGATGTGCCGACGCAGCAGGAGGTGTCACAAGAAAAGAAAAAAAAAAGACTCACACACACACGTCGAATGTATTTTCGGTTAACAAGGGGCAGCACTTTATTTACCTGGGAATCAGTCTCTTCGACGCACACCATCTCATACGCGCAACCAACCCTGCCCCCCCACCCTCCCAAGAAGAGTAGTCAAGGCCTGCCCTCAGATGTAAACCCGAAACGAAAAAACGTAAAGGACTGAGGGGACGCCATATTATTATATTATCCTGCTTGCTGCGCAACACGTTGTTCATCTCTTGCACTCCGACGAGGTTGGGCACACACTACACTACTAAAGTTTACCGCGATGTATCTAAAGCGGAGCAAGAGGGCGACTCCCACCCGGCCTTCGCATATCTGTAGCCAGCCTCGCAAGCACCATAAAAAAAGATATCCCCGTATTGACAAGAACACCAACAACAACATTCAACCGCGAAAAATAGCAATAACAACAACACGAACAACAACGATGGCCGACTGCGCCTTGGCAATCGCCATTACTCTGGGGAGACATCTTTGCAGAAACAGTTCTTCATTTGAACCCGGAGTTGCAGTAGCATCACCACGTCGGTTTTTAAGCCCATGAACCGAAAGCCCGTGTCTCCTCTCCCCCCTACCCCAACCCAGGCTGAATCGGTCTTCAGCCCATCTCTCTTTCCGTTTGCCGGTGGCAGGTCGAAACAAGAGGCTCCTTGTACAATGCGCGTAACCGGCACTTCTCAAAAACAAAACTCACTCAAGTGTAGAAACATTGGTACTTCCGTCTGTGCCGGGATTTCTCACCCGACCACTTTTACCGGGTACCCGCACCTTGTTTCCCGCCATATTTATTACGGGGACCTCTTACTATACCATGAGGATTGTTCCGACGAACGAACGACCGAGCATATTTATTTCTAGTAGCGTCAAGAAGAGGGGGGAGCCACGAGACACTCTCCACGAGAGAACGGTGACGTTTAAAGGAAGCTTGCTGTGATGGTCTACCGACGACCTGCTCCAGCTGCTGCACATTCTTTCACACACGGGGCCTAACGCTGTTGCACAGACAGACATAAATCTACCATCACCATGAGCACAAACTAGACACAACACTCTTTCTTCTTTCTCCTCTTGACCGTATCCCGCGAAGACACTTCCGTTTCCGTGAGCCGGTAAACCCGTCCCGGCCCCATCCCGCGAAGAAATGCCGTTCCCGTAAACCGGTAAACCCGTCCAGGGAAAACCGTCCCACCAAACTAAGGGGCGAACTCATCGACGTCTGGATTCGGTGCGCCGCCGCCAGCGGCGCCAGCCCCCGCCGCGCCCCCGGCCGCGGCGCCGGCGAACCAGCCGTTGTTCTGCGCGTACGTGCCACCCGCCGCGGCGAGCCCCGCGAGCGCGAGCGCGCCGAAACCTATCCCGAAGATCTGGAGGTCGGAGAGGGAGTCGTCGCTGCCGCTGCCGCTGCCGCTGCCGCTGCCTCCGTCTTCGCCGCCACCGACACTGCGGTTATTTTCGTCGTCGCTATCGCCAGTCCCGTCGGTGGTGCTGCCGGTGCCGGTGCCGGTGCCTGGGGCCGGGGTCGGGACGTGCGTGGCGCCCAGGAAGGGCGTCGCGGAAGGGGCGGCGGTCTCCCCCCAGTCGGCGATCGGGGTGCACAGGCCCCCCGCCACGCGGACGTGGGTATAGTCCGCGAGGGTTCCCTCGTGCCCGCAGAAGGTCCAGGTCGACTCGGAGAAGAGGCGGCCGGCGACGTCGAAGGCGTGGCTGGGGTCGCCGGGGCCCGGGGTGTGGAACTGCGTCGAAAAGAGGTATTCCCCTTCGGACAGGCAGAGGGGCACCGTGCGGGCGGAGCCACCTAGCATGGTGTTGAGGTAGGAGGTTCTGCGGGCCGCGGCCGCCGCCGTCGTCGCCGCGGTGGTGTTGGCCTCATCGGAGCTCATCATCGCGGAGACTTCGGCCGTGAGCTCGCTGCGGCTTTCCAACCGGAAGTGGTCGAAGAGGTTGATGCCCCCGGCGTTCCAGCCGTCGCCCATGCTGTCGCGCAGCTCGGCAGGAAAGCCCCACTCTCCGGACTCGCATCTGCGTTTTTTGTCGTGGTGTTTTGTTGTTTTTCTCGTGGGTTCAATAATGTTAGGTTGTTTCACACGCGCGTGAGAACCTGGCAGAGATGAAACGGTGGGAGGTGGAGGAGGGCGCCTAATAACAGCGAGCAACGTGGTGAAGAGGTTGCTCCAAGATGGCAAAACGCCAACATTCATTCCGCCTACACGTGGAGATAAAAACTCTTCGGAGAAATATTTCTTGCGGCCGTCTGAGTTCTCAGCTTCACCGCAAACCTCTCCCGTGTTCGAGATTCACTCACAGCAAACGGAGTTCCGGTTTCGTGGCGAAAGACTTTACGTGTTGGGGTAGTAATTTGAGAAAGGAGTAGTTGTAACGCCATCCTTCAAAAGAGATTAAAAATGCGCACATACCCTAAATTAACGGTAAGAACGGAACTCGCGCAGAAGAAGCACAGAGAGAGAGAGACAGACAGAGAGACAGACAGACAGACAAAAGAAACGGTAGATGGCAGGTAGCCAACAGAATCGGTTCGATAGTCAGGGCAAGCACAGACAGACAGACTCGCCTCCGGTGGCAGGTCTCGCTCAGCAAGCAGCGCACGGCGTTCTCCGACCTCTTGGCGTGAAACTTGTCGCCGGCCTTCAGGTAGTTGAAGTACAGCTTCACGTCCACGCTAACGTCGTACGACTGCGCCTCAAACTCGAACGCAACCTGGGCAACGGGGGCGGCGGGAGACCAAGCGGGAACGTTAACAACGCTTTCGCTCTCGGAAGAGGTAGTAGGTCTCACGACTGCTGTTCACGCTGCCTGCTTCTGCAGCATTTGGGCGCTTCGGATAACGCAGCCGAAGACGTGTAGCTCGGGCGCCTGGACAAAGCAGTGACGGAGCTTGAGGCCGCGTGTGCCCAAAGGCAAAACTGGAGGGTCATGGATTGAACACACTTTCCTAGGATGTAGCACTCTCTCTGTACACGGAATATGACGCATGATCCGATATCCTCAGCTTCCGTTTTCCATGCGTAGGGACAAGAACAATGAGAGGGTACGGTATGTCTTGCGTGGCGGGCCGGCTCCAATCGCTGAGGGCAAGACATATTGCGGAGTAGGGTTTTTCCCCCAATCCGAAGTACACAGAGGCGCTTGCCTCGCGCGTGCATTGCCACCGACGATACCGAAATGTTCGTAGCTTTTTCTACCGACAGAATAATTTGTTGCCACGTGCTGTTGCTCAACCCACACGTGGCGAAAACTTGCCGTGCTGCAGCAGCGAATTGCGGGTGAGCTCGTTACACAACGGGTGAGCATGATGAATAACGGAAATCATTTTGCTTTGGGCGGAACAACAGCAATCAATCGCAAACCGCCCAAAATCCCGAACAAATGCAGTAAGTTGGCTCCGGAGAATGCGGAAAATCCTGGCTAACGAGGGTTGAGAGCAGACCCTTGAGTTCACACCTTCCTGACCTTTCCTGCCAAGTTAAAAAAAGGAAAAACGTGAAACATTTTCTGTTGGAATACTCAATGTCAGTCATTAGAGTTTGTTCTGCTGTAAACAACAAGTAGGTACCTAAGGGGTATTACCGGAATAGTCTTCGGTATGTTGATTCAGTAATTGGATCATTGTACACACCTACGGGTTATACATTGAACCATAGAAGTATGGTACATCGGACCATTGTCCCATAGGATATTCTAGTAACGTTGCCGTGACCGTCTATTACCGTGATCGGTACGTTGCAATAGCCCGTGCGTGTTTCCTTTCCGTGATGACGGTGGATGGCTCGCCCCCGTGGTGCTCGCCCCCACTCTCTCTCTCTCTCTCTCTTCTTCTCCCTCTTTCTTCTTCTCCTTTCTCTCTTCTGACTTTTCGGCCAACTAAGCGTCAATACAACCATATCATCTGGTCTACAACACAAGTGTACTTTACAGTCACTCTGTGAGCCTCTGCACACTGTTACTACACAGTGGCCATTGCCAGGGATACACCTATCACAAAGGTTACATCCCAACATTTTCAATATCATCTGGGCAGCACAAATGAGCTGAATTTCACTGCAGGAGGTCCCAAAGGAAAGGGACTACAGGAGGTCCGAAAGGAAAGGGACGCGAAGCCTACCTTCGTCTTTTCTTCACAAACACACATGATATCGTAAAGTGGCACTTTGCCAGTCGCAAAATGAGCAAACAGAGCATTCTGCCTGTTTGTTTTTGTCGTTCATGGCCTATTGCTCTCTCTCAACATTGAAGTACAAATTTGCCCCTCCTCCTCCTCCTCCTCCTCCTTATCCCTAAGGCGAACAGCTCTGATGCCACCCTATGTTTGTACCTGGGCTGCTCGCACTACACGTGTGTCTGTGGACCTCTCGTTGTCTGTTCGTAGTCCACCTACAACAGCCCACACCCACCCCTGTCAGACAGTAGGCACCGCGAGCACTCTTGTCTTGTTCACCTGGTAGGTGACCTCCGAGATGCCGGGGTTCGTGCCGGCGTCGACGCAGGGCTCGGCCACCATCCCGCACTCCTCCAGTGACGTCAGCACCACCTCCTCCCCGTCGGGGCCGTGTTTCCGACACGAGTACACCAGCTCGAACAGCTGTTTCCCGGTCGGAGCTGGTAGCCCTTCGTGGCGAGGTGGCGAAAAAACGAGCACGCCGTGCAGCGCACCAAGCACCGGGTGGTGGATAGACAAGACGGCGGGGGGGGAGGGGGACGGGCATTGAACACAGGGGACGAGGGGAAACTCATTTATAGGAAAATACAATACAGATACGGACACAGAAATACTACAATACCCGTTCGAGATGTAGTCACGGTAGTCGAAATTGACGTGATTTTTCTCACTCACCCGGAGGGTCGTCTTGTGCAAGGTTTTGTATGGTACTGGAGACGGTTACGGGGGTATCTCGCTACAAGAAAACAATTGGATTGTTATCCATATTTTTATATTTTTCCCGAGTGAGTTACGTTCGGCTACAGCGGCTTTCGGGCGGCCCCGCGGAAGGGGGGGGGGGGGACCGAACAAATACATGTAGCGGAGCTTCTTCTTCAGGGCCATCGCAAGACTGCGCCCGATCTCGCGGTCAATGCCACGCGGTCCCACGCAACATGCCCGACGCGGGTACTGGACACGGCGTGAATCGGTTGAACCCTTAGAAGCATCGCGCGCCATTCTCGAACTGGTATTGGCCCGATAGATGCTTCATGGTGGACACCGACGCCCCCCCTCCTCCTCCTCCTGCAAGAAATTCGACATCCGCTAAAGGAACAACTCCATTTGGTGGCTGGGATGATTACGTGTTGTGTGCAAAGCACACCCACAACTGCCAGGATAAATCTTCCCCGCGCAGCACTCCTTGTTCTTAGCTGCCGCCAGCCAGATGCCGGGGCTCTTGCACACGCATTCGATCATGATGCCTGCTTTCAGTCACACTACTTTTGCTACGCGACACCCGCACGTTTTTGTTTGGCAAGATGGCGACTGACAAGAAAAGATGGTGGCAAAGGGAGCTGCGGGGCTGGTCAGAGCTTTAAGACCCGAAAAGATATATGGTTATTGTTTAACTTTGGCTTGTAAAGGGCGTGGGGCGCCGGCAGATGGAGGAATACGAAGTTCGAGTAGTGGCACACGGGACCTGAACAGAAAAAAACACATCCCACACGCGTAGTACCCTCTCCATAACACCGTGTGGAAATGATCTGAGAAAGACTGCGGCAGAGATGTCTTTCAATCAATGTGGTTTAGTTCATAGCCGATAGATCAATTTTCTTGCGGCGCTCTGGTGGAGTTAACAAAGCATTGTTTTCTTGTTTTTCGTCTTCTCATCTCAAGTCGTGAGGACTTCTTCGTTTTCACTACACAAGGAACTGCAACAGTGGATTTGCCTGAAAATTTGGAAGCGTGCTTCTTTGTCGTGAAGCTCACTCGACAAGAGGTACTGGAAAGACGCACAGGACAGATAGATCAGAACAATTTTGTTAACGCGAATATAATATGCTAACACCAACATGAGCGACACGACACGTATGGCCGGCGCCCGCCAACGCTTAGGCCATCCGGCGGTCTTGGTCTGACTTTTGAACGCAGCATTGACCAGGGGCCACACAGATGGTATGTCATAAACTAAATGTGAATTCGGCTTTGCCAGAGCCTCTACAAGAGAGAAACTACAGGCCGGCGTGAGGATGAAAGTACAATAACTTCTGCCCCTGGACCCCGCAACTTGTTTGTGCCGGCGTTTGCTGGACAGTTTTTGCACGAAAAATAACACCATGGTGGCGACTGTTGCACTTGTGTTTGAAGGGACATCTGACAACTGTACGACAATTATTGCTGATGTTGCCTCTCCAACCGTTGGGTTCGATCACGATTCAAGTGGAAATAAAAGAGGCACAAGCTGAACGCCATTTTTTCAGCGCAGCTATCGTACATCGTCGACGCACTCGCCTATGCTGCAATGTCAGAAAAGCGTGTTGGGGCACCGCATCCATGCAGCTATAAGTACCAGTGTGTGTTGTCTCTGTTGTATGCCAACGAAATGAATTTGGTAAAAAAAACGTGCGGGATACAGTGAGACCGGGAGTTCTGCCGAACGGGAGGTCCGCAATAAATAGCGCAGCAATGCCTAGCGACGCTGCAAGCCGTGGATACCTCTCACCACGCGCTTGTTGTTTCCTGTACGGCGGCTAGACTGCTTGTTTACCTTGGGCAGAACCCAAGCCATTCCATTTTCACAATTTTCTTTGTTCTCGCGGTAGAGGCGTCAATAGCGTCAAGTATCTCGAAGAATGCGCGCCAAAAAGCTTGCAAGAGACGTTTGAGCACGCTACCTTCTTTCACTTGCAACGGCTTTCATTCCGCTGCGAGTGTTGTGCATATGGTGCTTCTCGTTCCTCGGAACGCCCCCCGGTCGGCCTGGTGTCGATTGGGAAGCTAGCGAGTGATACAGCTTGGCCTACGCGCCTTGGCCAGATTGGCCCAAGGCGCACCCGTGCCAGTGTGGTTTCGGGCAGGTCGTACGCGGACGGTAGCATTTTCTTCTTATTTGTATTCAGGACTTCACTGCTGTGTACTGTGTTGTGTAGACACTACAAATACCCACAAAGATCAAGCGAGCGATCTCTTTCTCTAACACCGCCTAGGCAATGCATGCTGGATTCAAAGCCGACCTTTCCACCTCTACTCGGCAGCTCGGAACAGTCGGGCAGCATGCCGGAAGTCGTGCGGGCTATACTATTAAGTGGGGGGAGAGGGAAGAGACTTTGATGTACCTATTGCGGCGACAGGGGCACAATAAGCAACCGGGCCATTTCACATGCCAACGTCTCCGTAGAGAGTCGAAAGAGAACAAGATCACACCCACCCACCTACCCACCCGCCCACAGCAACTAGTCTAGACTACAGTACAAACTCACTTTGATCCAGGTCTTCGTGCCAGTAGGTTGTGTTGTGCGAGCACTCTTCGACCGCCCCAACTCCTAAAGTCTCGTTCGCCCCAATGATCTCCTTTCTGCAAGACACCCCCTCGCATGAGGAAGTCTCCATGTAGAAAGTCTGCTCCATTACGAGCTGGGAATGCCCGCTTACAAGGGCGACCTTCCTCAGCATCATGGCAGCACCCAGTGACGATAACCCAGCTCTCCATGAGCCTCTCATGGTAGACACCGGTTTACAGCAACTGAGGTGTGTGTGAAGGTAGGCGGCTGTCTGCCTGCTGCTGTGCAATCTCGCGTCGTGTCGTGCTTGCCCCCGTCAACAATCGTACAATCGTACCGAGAGGAGAAAGCGTGGGCGCGTGTTCAGCAGCTCTTTGTGCGTACAATATACCCTCCTGCGAAAGCTCTGCTCTAGCCTGCTGCTTGACCGATAACCACACGCCGTGTTGTGTGCTGATCTCGACGATGCTACTGGAGTGAGACGCTGCTCGCTGTGACCACGCTCGGTGGGATACACCCACACATCAACGATCAAAATGGTCCATGGCGCGCGTAGATGCGTCCGAAAGTAGATGGACATGACATGTATGCATACAACATGTGTGTAAACGAACTTCTCTTGGAATTGCCCCGACTTTTCGTCCCGAAGAGGGACGCAAACCTGTTTTTTCTGTTCTTATTCGCCGTTCTATATTAATTTTCGGCAGTGGACACTGGACAAAAAAACTCCTTCAAAGCAGGGAGGCGACTTCACCTTTTTACACACAAGCACGGCATTCCTCACATCTGGCGCGGACAGCACACAACGTAACCAAATGCAAGCGAAGGAGGCTGCCAGCGTCAGGGGCCGTGCGCCTGCAGGAGACAGGAAGACCCTGGAGGGGAGGAGAAGGGAGAGAAGGCTGAGCTCCGACCGCCGCAAGTCCGGTCCAAAGGCTGCGGATGTTGAGTCGATGCGACAGGATGGAAAGGCGGGACGCAGGAGGCTCTCGGACAGCCACAGGAGGACCAGCAAAGGCAACAAGGCGGCCACGCTACGCCGCGAGCGGAGCTCCCTCCGCCCGCCCCTGGCGGGACACCCGGGCATGGGGCGGGCGTCTCTCCCAGCCCGATTTGCCGCTCCGCTTTTAGCGAAGCAAAGAGCGACCCCGCCTGCTGCTGCTGCTGCTGCTGCTGCGGAACCTGCAACGGCGAGGTCCCAGCAGGATGTTGCGGTGGTAGCCATGGACCTGGACAAGCAAGAACAAGAGGAGGGGCCGAAGCCAGTAGACGAGACGGGAGAGGGTGATGACGCGCACTGGACGCCCGAGATGGTGACGGAGGCTGCGAAGGTCATCCTAGGGGGTGACCGGCAGCACCAAATCAGGTGTGCGTCCGCCAAACAACTGCAAAAAATCGCCAACCGCCAGAAAATACATAACAATCGGCACCCACACCCACCCATCGTTGTCGGGTCTACTCTGTACGTACAGCTGCTGTGGACCTTTGGCCCAGATCAACCGTTCACCACATGTATGTGTTGGCCGTTCACGCAGGCCCCGCAAAGACCGTCTGCTACTACTGCGTTGATTTTGTACAGGTTTCTCTGTGGCAAGTCCCCCGCTGAATGCACATCGTTTTTCATCTATCTTGAACAACACCACCGCCAAGAAATAAACGATGTATGTATGCCACGAACCTACACAGCAGGCTACACGTTGCAATTGCTAATTTGACTATAATACTCACACCACAGCACACACACTGCGTAAACTCTTCATGAATCACACAGAGATCATACTTTGTTTCATGTTCTGCTACACAAGAAGTGTATCTTATTTTTAGTATGACGCAACGATTCCACCTCTATATATCCGTATACAAGAGTCTAATGTACGATAATGAAGCCGCAGCACCAACGGTAGACGCAGGGCTTGCTATGTAGTCTAGAGAGAGAGATGGCACTCCCCCAGACCGACTCTTAAAGCTCGATTCGATTGTGATTGCTCCAAGGGGTGCAGGAAGAGCCGGCGGATGCGTCTGCTAAGGAATTCCCTCGACGAGATGTTTCAAAGCCACCACCACTTTTGGTGTTCTTCGAATCGTCAAGTTTGAGTTGACGGGCGTGATCGGCCTGTTGTATACGTTAAAAATCGAAGGCAAAGTACCGCAGGAGGGGAGGGTAGAGAGGGGCTCTTTTGTGTGACCACGGGTTGGAGTAAACGGCACTAGTGCTGTGAGCGCTGACTTGAAGTGAAGACAAAAAAAAAAAAACTACAACATGGGGAACAGGGTTTATTTGGTACCGTCCACTAAGGGGCAAAGTGTTGACTTTTCGAACTGCCCTTGCACAGACGAACAACATCGGCTGCTTTTGTCTCTGGATGGAAGCACCCCACGACCACATCGCTTGCATGAGAAAAGGGCCCGGTTAGTGGAGGCGGCTGCATGGCAGGTTTCACCTCGATGCGTCAACTACGGAGGTGTAGTGTGTAGTCCGCCCTCGATTTGGAGATGATGTGCCATTTTCTTTCTTTTACAACAGCATGTGATGACGCATGCGGGTGCAGCAGTAGAGTAGTTCCCAGAGCGACGAGTGCTGTTTTTCGCGCACCTTGATTTTGGTCGCAGCAGTGAACGAACTTAGGGTGCGTTAGAAACCCTTTCGAGTGTGCCACGTGCAGATATCATTCAAACCGCTCTATGGCTGACAGAAAGAACCCTTCACGGCCTTTTCAAAAAATCTCGCCGCACCCACCCAGATGATGTTGGTTGCTCGACTGCTCCCTCGAGAAAATCTTTGCACCCAAGGGTTTTGTTTGCTCGAAAGGGTGGAGCAAAAAGTTGACCGTTGACAAATCTTGGCCAAGATCTGACGGAAAAATTGTTGCCATAAAAAAAAATGAATTTTCTTGGGCCAATCTTGGCCAGGGTCAAGATGTCACTCCAAGATTCTGTCTCCATGCAGAACGGTGTTCAGAATTTGTTTTTCTTAATACTGCACAACAAATCCATCCCTATGTATCCGTAGGATTAGCTATAATAGCAATGAACTGAAAACTTTGGCGGTGCACAACCTGTGCTTGTTTGTTGTCATCCCAGTTGGTCTGGACGTTTCACCTTTCGGTAGGTACAATGCTGGACGAACTAGCCGGGGTCGCACGCAGGAGTTGTTTTCTCCGCTTTCAGTCAGCGGTGCTTGCTTGCTCTGACATTTATCGCGAGAAGGATTGAGCCGCTCCTCTTGTGCCTGCTCGGCCACCGTGAAGTCGGATATTTTTGGGTGAACACATGAAGTTATGGCGGTCCACACTGCTGTTCGGGGGATTTTTTGAAAAAAATGATAAAAATTCAAACCTCCGTGTTGTGACTGCACCGAATTCGAACCCACGTCCGACCCGAAGGTTTCCAAGGGGTCACCTCCCTAAGGGTCGGTCTTAACGAAGAAATCAGATCTCGAAATCACATTCAGATTTGGCTATAAGACCGGAAGATCCACAGAACTCTTTCGTTGATTGGCTGAAATGTTATGGAACCCGTCGAATCGTTAGGACTTATAACAGGACGACCCAAAACCAAATCGGGATCTGAAAAAAGGTGAAATCATTTAATCGGATCCCGATTTGGGTGAACAGCGTCCATGGTTGCGGGACCACGGTCTACTCGCATACACGGCGCGTGCCCACCTACCCATCCACACGAACTCCATCCACCGCCGAGCGCAGAGGAAAGAAAGAGCACAAAAATCCAACCCAAAGGGAGTGACTGCGCATCGTTGTTGCACGTGACTGGTCCCGAAAAAATACGTGTGTGGGATGTGTTCGTCTGTGGGGCAATCTCCCGTGGGTTGTCGAACTTCAAATGCACAAGACGAATTGGCGGCTTTCCGTCGGACGAGGGTCGATTCAAAGTGTCACATGCATAGACATCGTGTCAGTACCGCACAGAGGCCATGTACGCGTTTGGTGTGTGCTTCTCGGGAGCGATAGTTCCCCATTTGGTGTGGCCACGTCATGACACTAATTTACGTCACAACAGCAATCTGGCAGTTGGCAAGCGGCGGACCTCTCGGGTTGTTCGTGGTGGACTGAAGAGATTTGTTTCCATTTGGCAGATCTCCCGTTAAGACACACAGGCCATTTCTGTCCGGATATGGGTAGATCCGACTCTTTTATTCTTATATCGAAATGTGATTTCGAGATCTGATTTCTTCGTTAAGAACGACCCTAAGGAAGGACCCAGTTCAGCCACTGCTGCCGTTGCTGCGTATATCTGTGTATGAAAAAATAGAAAATGGCGTCAGAAAATTGCCTTCCACTGACGTTCTCCGCGTGTTGCCTTCCACTGCGTTCGGGATTGCCCATATCCACACGACAAACGAGCACAAGCCCTTGAATTCCATCCTGAAGGTATCTTTATCTTCACTGTGTAGCCTGCAGTCGTTGAGACGTGTAGCCAGGCGTTGAGGCTTGCTAAATGTACGGTAGGCGTTTCTTGGGATGATTGCGCCGACACTAACGCACCTATCCGGACAAGCCCACGCGTAGTAGGTGCCGAGACCCAGGCGGCCACACCGACTCGCGTGCACACCCCTAACTCACAAGCTGTTTTTCGTCTCCCCTAGTACCGTGGCATCTTTGGCAAGGCAGGAAGGAGCGACTGGCCATCGGTCCTCCCGTGGGAACATTGCTTCCGAGGGCGCGTGGTCAAACTGCTAAGGCATTCAAAACATGAACGCGCCCCCCTGCCTCCACACCGCCGTCGCAGGAGCTTGCGCTGGCTTCGTGTTGTGCTGAGCTTGTCGGAGACCCCCCCCGCGGAAGAGGTTGTCCGAGCCCGTCTCGTGCCTAAGCTCGTCGAGTTTCTCCGGCAGACAGGTGCGAAACCGAACTGTACGCCAGCATGCGTGTTTTTTTTGCTAGTTTTTTTTTCCAGGATCATAACGGATACATAGAAGAAAGTGTGCACTACATATTGCAATGCCAATACTCGGGAGTGTGCGGATTCCCTGAACGTTCGTGCGGCAGACTGTGCGGGGCTTCGCCCGGAGGCCCTGTGCGCCCTGACTAACATCGCATCGACGGAGTGCACCAGGGCCGTGGCGATGGAGCCGGCGACCCTACCCGCCCTGGTAGACTTGCTCTCGAGCTCCGACCTGTATCTCCGAGAACAGGTGGGTGCAGTCGACCCGTACAACTCTTTGTTGTGCACGGTCGCGAGGACTGCAATACCCGGCAGGTGATTGCCAACAATAATTGCGCAGAATTATGAACCAGTCGCGCTGTTGCTTGGAGACGAATACTTGCACAGGATTTGATATCTTCGTGTTGCCTGCCGCCTTCTCAGCACGTTGTTCCCAGGACGACAGCATCCTCTTGTTGGTGGTTGCGTCATCTCTGATGCCCTTTGCTCTCTCCCGCCGCCCTTAACCCCACCCAAAGAGGACAGTATCCTTTTGTTTGTGGTTGCAACATCTCTGATGCCCTTTGCTCTCTCCCGCCGCCCTTTTCCCCACCCCACTTTCGCTTCAGAGTGCGTGGTGCCTTGGGAACATTGCAGCGGACGGCGTTGAGATGCGAGATCTCGTGCTGGGCGCGGGGGTGTTGGAGCCGTTGCTGCTCAGCCTCTCTCCGTCCCAGCACGGCTGTACGTCGTTCATGAGGTTCGTCGTCCTGCCTTTCTTTCGGGTAGCAGGGGGGGGGGGGGTACTCCTAACCCTGCATGCCCTAATCCTTAGATCATTGACCTCCGGGGGAGGGGGGGGGGGGGGGGGGCGT